CCACCATCTAGCCTCTGCTAAAACAATGGCACCCCTGAAAGGGCTGGGTGGATTGTCCCTCTTCTGTCCTGACATTCCTTTTAAAGGTGATGGCCTTTGGGCATATCATTTAAAACATTTAAAGCTCACAATCAATTTTTTAAAAAGCTCTGCCCTTTGAACCCAGGACTCCAGAGACTATCTTCCATTATTCTATTCAGGTCAGGTGGGGCAATGGTTGGCCTGATACTACAAGCGAACACAGCTGGGCTTTACAGATTGGGAGGGGTGAAGAAGAGAGAGAGAGAGAAAGAAGAAACCAAGAAATAGAGTTTTATCCTTGAAGAACAGCAAATCCGGTTTTATTGACAGTGACAATGCTAAAGAAATTCCAGCCACACTTGTCAGACCCCAACTCTTGCAATAACTGAGTGACCTTCAGAGTGACCTTCAGCAGGACGGGATGCAATCTGCTTGTAACAGGATAACTGGCTTCCAGGAAAACCTGTACAACTGGTTGCTGGGCACAGCCGGGCCTCCATTCCAACACATCAGTTCAATGATTTCGTCCCTGGTGACTGAGGGCCACTTACAAGTTTTTAAAAAATTATTATTAATTAAAAATAGTTGTGTTGGCATGTACTTCATATACCGTACAATTTAGTAATTCCGTGGTATTAAGAAGATTCGTGCCATCACCACCACAACCAATTTCAGACCATTTTCTTCCGCTGCTCATTGTTGCTCATTCCCTATTTCCCCATCCACTTCCCAGGCCCCTGGGTAATTATTAATGCAGTTAGTGTCTCTATAGACTTAGCTGTCCTGGATCTCATATCCCGAAGACCATACAAAACACAAACAGGAGGCAAACACACACACACACACACACACACACACACACAATGATGAGACAAAACAGGAAAAAAATCTCAATAGAAAGCAGAAAATAGTAGCAACGGAAACAACCTTAGCAAAAGGATCAAAAGGGAGATCAAATGATAAGGTGTTCCACTGTAGCTAGCGACAGTGCTATCACTGGCTTTACAATGTTCTGATAGCAAGGCTAGTCACATCTCCGGTCTACAGTCAGAAGGGATTCACTGGAGGCTTAACCGTGTGAGGACCCTACAAATGGATTTGAGGCTTTTACTGGGTGTTCATAATGTAAGCTCTGATCACCAGCTTCTTCATTTAAACAATTAAATAAAACACTCTGAGTTGACTAGTCCTTAGGTGAACCGATCAATCTCTCCGCAGAGGGCCTGCTCTTCTCGACGTCACCTGTAAAACCAGGAGACTGGACAGAAATGCCTGAAAGGTCCCTTTCCAACTGCCACTTCTATGTGCCGATCGACTCAGCAGGTGGCACTAGATGTTGGAATCAAAAGGAAGCCACTCACCTCGAGAGCTGCAGCCCAGGACACTTTCCAAACACTGGACCAGCGCGCCAATATCACTGTCCTGCCAGACAAGGGAGAAAGATTTCCTTTACCTTGATGGCAGAATAATACTGGGTGACATAGACAAATAATGGTATTTCACCGAAACAAGATAAAAAGCTGAAAAATATGGTTGTGAAACTGTACTACATCCCACCTTTTAAAAGACTGAAAAAGAAACAAGTCTATATGTGTCTCTCTCTCCTCATCAGTCTATGAAGAAAGCTTTGTGGTTCAAGTGCTCTACTGCTGACTGAGAGGTCTGCAGTTCAAACCCACCAGGAGTTCAGTGTGAAAAACCTGTAGCAGGCTATTTCCATACAGGTTGCTGCCACGGTGTCACCACACACCTTAAACCCAGTGGGAGACTCCAACTCCATCCTTTAAGATGACTACGAATCAACAATGACTCGAGGGCAACAGTGGGATCAGTCGATCAGCTTTATGGACGTTAAAATGTTGATGTGGCTTTGACTGAAAGGTGGGGTTATGGGTGAACTCTGTTTTCTCCGTTGAGAACATATACCTTTTCCAAATGTTCCATAATAAATTACTTTTACCTGTTTGCTTATTTTTTTAAATTAAATTTCTATTTTTGTGCTGAATTGATTGGGGGTGGGGTGGGGCAGTTAAAAGTCAAAACAACAAATCAACAATCAAAAACTCCAAACAATCAACAACCAACCCCAAATTCTAACCACACCCCTCTGATCCACAGACGGTGTGAACGGTCTGTTTAAGTCTCACTCAATCTATGACCCACTCAGTACAGCAGGGGGGAAGTGAACATTTTTCCTGGAAGAGTATCTCCATGTGTTCATCTTGGGATATGTTCATTCCTCAAGAAGCAATAAATCTACACAGTGTGCTCCCTGACTGCATGCGTTCTAAGAACCAGGTGCCCCGAGGAGAGCCATGTGGGATCCCAGAACTGCAATTGATAAGAACGACTGCGTTTATACTAATTACATATCTGTACTCGGCTCAGCAGGCTGGAAGTATCAAAAACCATCTCATGATCTGGGAAAATGTGACCTCTTAATTAGGCGTTAATTTCGGGCTTGTAGTCCTACTGGGAGAAATTCATAATGTATGGATCACCTGCTCCATTACAAAACAACACATTTCATACTACAGTACTTGCCTGTGGACATTAGCAAAATGTACTGTCATATACTTAGAACATAGCATCACGTAAATATGCTAGTGTTTATTTTATATATAAAACATCCTGTGGGGTTGGGGTAGTGATTTTTTTTCAAATGCATGTGGTAAAACCTAGAATCATTGCATATACTCAGAACCCTTAGAGGGGCAAGGTTGAGGAAGGCTGATCGGTGCACCGTTCTGTTCTCTAAACTTGCAGGAACAGGCTTGAGTCAGAGAGGGAGAGCCCTTTGCTGTGAAGAAAACTGTGCTCACATCAGTGATTGATGTCACCAACCAGGGCAGCCCAGGTTCTAGGCCGGGCTCCCCCCAGTGCTGAACCAGTGGCTTGACTTACATCTGTGAAATAAGAGGGCTGGATCAGATAACAAGTAAGAAATCTCCCATCCAACTCTACAACCCCTTTCTCTGGCGAGGAGCTAGATGGACAGTAAGTGTGGTCATTTCCACGTGTGGCCATTGAGATGGTTCTGACTCACAAAGACCCTATAGGACAGGGCAAAACTGCCCCTGTGAATTCCTGAGACTGTAACTCTTTATGGGAGTAGAAAGCCTCGTCTTTCTCTTGCGGACCAGTTGGTGGCTTCAAACTGCTGACCTTGCAGCTAGCAGCCCAGCACATAACCGCTACACCACTGGGGCTCCCCGTGTGTCGTGGGTTGCCTCAGAGATCTTGACAAATTTTCCCATCCTTGTATTCCCATGGCATCCCTCGTATCAAGAGGTGAAGACTGTTTGTCCAGCCCTGGATTCTAAGCTGATCCTGTAACTTACTGTGGTCAATATGATGTGGCAGCAGCAACACTGTGTGACTTTAGATGTCTTGTAGCTGTCTTGTAGCTTTCGTTTCTGTCTCGGGGAAGCCAGCAAGTGTGTAAAGAAGCCCTGCTGTCCTACTGAAGAAGTCACACAGTGAGAGGCCCTGGAGCATGAGAGGCCATGTGGAGGAATGTGGGAGCACGGTTGTTTGCCCCTTAGGCAAACAGGACAGGACCATAACTTTCATAGTTCAAGGCCCGTGGGAGAATGCTAATGGCCCAGCCATGGGAGCAGATGAAGCAATGGCCGGTCTGCCTTTGCAACTGAGATAAACACACATTTGCCTCCTGTTTTGACTCAAGCTGCAGCAGACAGCAGTCTGCAAACTTATCAGTTTCTTTATGCTCCCAGCCGCAGTCTCTCCTCCCATCTGAGTAACTTGGTGGACGTGTTAATGCTCCTTTGTATACTCTTAAAGCACTGCAAACTGTTCTTCTGTGTAAACCTGTCATGTGTTGCAGGCTGCATGCAGGAAAGTATTTAAGCCTGCCCCCAATAAAGCTCTGGGCCCTGGAGTGTCTATACTGCAGGGACCCTCATGCCCTAACTTTTGACTATTTCTTTTGTATATAATCCCTCATGGTAGATCATGCCCCTTCTTGAACCTGTTCATAATGCAAGAGAAGAGCCGGTCTCCATATGATCTGACAGAGGAAAATCGAGACGCTAAGCCAACAGCCAGCACCAACTGCCAGAAAGGTCAGTGAGCCCTCTCGGTCTTCCCAAAGATGAAGACAGCGTGGGAGTGAGTTGAACCAAGGTTATGCCAGCAGAAGAGCCCAGCCAACCCAGCAAATCGTGAGACACAATAAATCACTGTTTTAAGTTACCAGGCTTTGGGGGTGCATAAGCAAAAGATAACTGAGACAATCAACAATTTGAGGCCAGTAACTAGGCCATGCCACAAGTCAGTTAACCTCTCTGAGCCTCAGTGGCTGCCATTCTTAACTAGGAGTGAGATGAGGGAGGGACAGGGACTCAAACTCACTGCCACAAGTCATTTCTGACTCATGGTGACACTATAGGACAGGGTAAAACTGCCCCTGTGGATTTTCAAGACTGTAATTCTTTATGGGAGTAGAAAGCCTCATCTTTTTCCTGCAGAGTGGTTGGTGGCTTCAAACTGCTGAACTTGTGGCTAGCAGCCCAATGTGTAACCCACCACACCGTTAGGACTCCTAGGGACAGGGATGCAGAAAATTAAATATAAGAGTCCCAATCATTGTGCATGTCACCAAGCATGGAGATTCTCAGTCAGCGTTTAGTGAGTTCAGGAACCAGAAACAGGACTATCAGGGTCATCGGGCCAGCTGGGACACACCAATGATGCTTTCTAATAGAGGTGAGGGATCTCTCTTCAAGAGTGGGTGGAAGGCAGAAACCATTTTAACACTACTGAATAAAAGACTGAGTGAATGGATACGACTTTTTTTTAAAGCTCTTCATATGGGCTATTATTGTATCCTTTTACAAGTATGAGTTCATAGCTTAAATGCTAGGAGACAGGTGCTATTATTAACCCCATTTAATACTTGAGAAGCACAAAGGGGTCTCATAATACAGCCAAGGGTGGAACAGGCAGTTCTGTGTCCAGAGCCTGAATTGTCTGAGTCACTATGTAAGTGACCTGGTCCCACATAGTCACATACACGCATAAGAGCTCTAAGAAGCAGGTGTTCTGACCCAGAGAGCCTCACAATATGGTTGGAGGAACCAAGGAATGAGCGCATGAAGAGTCAAGACCAAGTCCTGGACTTACATTTGCAGCAAGAACAAGTCATTTTCCCTCCCGGGGTTGCAGATCAAGGTATTATTAAGACCCAAACAACCAAGTGTGCCCTTAAAAATTTCTTTTGGAAACAATTGCAGACCTAAAGAGAAGCTGCAAACTAATATAAAATCCCCACAAACCTTTAACCATAATATCTGTGTGCACACCCACACTTCGTGCACCTATCCATATAAAGGTTTCTCAAACCCAGCACTATTGACATTTTGAGTTGTATATTTCTATCCTGTGCATTAAAGTTGTCTAGCGGGGTCCCTGGCTTCAGCCAGTAAGTGCCAGTAGTATACCCTCTTCTTCCCAGGACCCAGAAATATAGCAAACCACGAAACAAGGGTGACTTCAGATATTTCCGAATGTCCCCTGGTTAAGAACTGTTGGTCTCCATGTGTATATCAGGGTTACCGCCCCCTGAAGTCAAATCGGAAATCATCTGAGCATCGAAATAATAAATAATAAAATTAATGGATTACAAGCCATAGAGTAAAATAGGAAGCTGCTGTGCCTCATAATATTTACATAAATGATTTCTCGTTAGAAAAAGAGAAACTCATATGAAAGATCAGGTTGTACATGTGTCATATTAGATCCCAATTTAGAAAAGAATGAATGACTTCGCTTGTCTGTGTTGCCATTTAACCTCTGAACCAACTCATCTACAGTGCTTGGGAAATGGCCCTTTAATTGAGCATAACTGGTCCTGGCAGAAAAGCATCCACTCCCAGGAGAACAGAGAGATTTGAATGGAAGGGAATGCGGTGCCCCTTTAAGGTGGATTCTGGTAGTCTGCATTGTTTGCATTTTAGCGTGAAGGTCAGTCAAGGGATTCATCTTTCAGGACCGTGTGATGACCTATACAATGTAGAGACTGTGCTGTTGATTGAAAGGTCTGCATTTCCCACTGCAAACTGGATTGGGTGAGAGCGGAGGGTCCTTGGAGAGCGAACCAGGCCTGTTAGCTGCCAAATTACAATGATGCCAATCTGCAGTTGGTTCAGCCTAAAGGCAGGAAGCCAACTCTCAGATGCTGTGAAAATAACACAGTGACTGGGTTGCAGGTGGATTTAGATGTTCATGGAGTCTCCTTCCCCAGCAATCACCAACCCAGTCAGAAAAGGTACATACCTTGCAGCCCCAGGGAACATCTTTTAAGATTGAGTTCTTAAAACAAAAACAACAACCGAAACTGCCCCAGAGATTCAAATCCATCAAAAGACCAAGCATTGTTTTTCTCCCAAAGCTTAGGCAGT